CCAGTTATGAAGAAAACCTCCCCCTGTTTCTTAGTATTTTCAGTAATTTTAGACTGATTTCTACACTGATATTTTGATTTTAGAAAAAATAATTTCAAGACAACTGACTGCTTTCAGGAATGATTTTGGGACTTTTCATTGCACAGAGACTGATGTGCTTAAGAGATGTAGGTCTTTTACAGTGTAAACCAATCAATTTCAGCCCTTCTCATTAGAAGCTGGTGGAGTATTGCCCTCAAGTTCCCACTCACACGTGGAGTTCCACAGGGATCCATTCTTGGTCCTTTATTATTTTCTGTTTATTTGCTTCCATTCAGACAAATTCTCAGTAAATAACATTATTTTCCACTCCTGTGGTGATGATAAACAACTGTACATTCCATTTACGTCCAACAGTAATGATATATCACCCTTACAGTCTTGCCTGGTTGACATCAATTTCCTTTAGTCTTCAGCGACTCAGAAATAGAAATCATCATAATCACGCCTTTTGGCTGTAGAATAAATACTCATCAGGTTGTTTCTGCTTTGCTTTAATTGAACTTATTTTATTCTTTGTATTTTACTCTGGGTCAGTCAGCTTGTTATTATTATTATTATTTTATTTTTTATTTTTATCGAGTCTGTGGCATTATGGTTACTTTGTTTTTATTATTTCATACATCACCTCATATTTTAATATCTGCTTTGTGTAACACCTTGAAACTTTATTTTAGAATGTAGTAGTAGTAGGCAGCAATCGTTGTTGTTGGACAATGACATTTTTTCATATTATTGTTTGATTTATTTGTTTATTTATTTTTCTACCTCTGCCTGCACATGCTGCAAGCAGTAATGCCGTAGTTGCATAAATATTCAGAATATAAGAATATGTTGTTGTAAATATTTAGGCACGTAATTGTCATAACTTAAAAAGTTGTCAACAGTTTTATCAGTGATAATAGGTTAAAACAAAACAAAACAGAACAAAAAAAAAATTATTCTGCAATTAGTTAATCAATTTCAATCAAAAATGTATGCTGTCTGTGTTAAGCCCACTTTGAAAACACAGTTTCAACATTTTTGTAATTAAAAAACAAACGAAAAGAAGTTTAAATATATTGTAAGCAGAATATCTTTTCCTCTTAGTTTGCTATACTGCAGGCAGCAGAACTGCCCTGACTGTAACTCCGGGTTAGTTTGCAGATGTATGTTTTATGCAAGTGAATACATTTTTTTGTATAATAGATTTTTTTTTTAAAAACACATACACAGTATATTTTCCTGGGGTGCTTTCTTCCTAAACTGCACCAGTGAGAGGAGAGATGCAGTAAAAAGTATGATGATGCCAATCCAGCGATACGCTATAATCTTGGTGCCAAGAATGAGTTACGCCATGCAGCTTGCTGTCCACACACTCAAAGCAGGTCGACAGCTCAGAACACCTGATTTCCAGAATAGTTTAGTGATGTTTGCCTCTTTTATGCAGCCAACTGATGTGTTTGTTTTAGACAAAGCAGTATATCCACAGAAACTAATAGCAGACTGTTACATGCTGGCTCTGCGAGGGCAACGGGAAGAACATAGAACCAGGTGTTCTTGGTTTAGTGCAGCAATTTAGTGACATTTTTAATGACAGAAAAAGGTGATAATACTGCAAAAAAAAAAAGGAGGGCTGGTGGGTGTTGGTGAAGAAAGAACCCAAATGACTGCTGGGAAACAGAGAACAGACTCAGCTACATATTTACATGAAGCACAACAGACACAAGAGGCACAGACATGACCTGCTCACATGAAACCACAGCTGCCCTGACTAAGAGTTAGGCCGCTGATATAAAGCCCTGTGTGGTCATTGCTCCGGTTCCATTGGTGGAGGAAACCGGGTGGTCCAATCAGAACGAGGGCCGGAGCTCCGGGACAATCAGCCGAGATTGGAGACAGCTGGGGTCTGGAGCTGCTCTGCGGCCGGCCATCAGCACAAGTTCCACACCAGGCGTCTCCACACACAGAGGCCGCAAAGGATCCACCACGGAAAGGAAAACCACAGCGGGGGCCGATGCTCTCTGATGCTGGAGTGATAGTGGAAACTCAAATCATGAATCATATTGGTTGTGACATAACGCTCCAACAACACAACGTAATCAAACAGTTCTGCACTTTTACCTTACAAACATAATGGTTTGGTCTCAGATCCAGCTTTTTTCTTTTTTTTTTTTAAACTGGCAAACATCGCACTTGTGGATCTATACCTGCACAAGCCATAAAATCCTTCCCCCCCAAAAGAGCCTATAATAAATCAGCTCAAATAAAATAAATGTTAAAATTTTTTAGTTTTTTTTTTCTTCCTTTTTCTTTTTTTTTTTTTAAGGAACAGATTCTTGAATTGTTAGGTAATTCTACATGTTTATGCGTACAGTATTTTCAGGATTTTTTTTCTTAAACAGTTGATTATAGAAGAACCCTTTTTTTTTCCTTTCTTGTTTATAATGCAGTCTACTATAAATCCATAGGGACCCTGAAAGGCAATCATGGCTGGCATTTAAAAAACAAACAAACACAAAAAAAAACCACATGACTACAAAGTAAACATAATTACTTTGCATCTACAGTGTGCACATTTTATAGTTTTTACACAACAGCACACATTTTTCTTTATTTTATTTCTTTATTTGTTTAAAAAAAATATGAGTTTGACTGTATTGAAGATATCAACAGACATAATTACAGAATTTTTAATCCAGATTCATCATCAGTTTTGACCAGTCTAAATAATACATGCAGGTATTATTGCGGCTTGTTGCACGTGATGTTTGTTAATGTGAGGTTTCTCATTAGATGTTGCTCTAAGCATTTTAGCAGCACCCTAAGAAGCAACGAATGTGGCGGATCAGAAGTAAACGCGATGTATCAGAAAGAGAATCAGAGCTTGATTCATTGGTGTGAATTCATGATGTACATTTTTCATCTCCAGACACACTTGTGGACCTGCGATGAAGTCTAAATGCACTCCGAACACTGATCTCCTCTTCTGGAGTGACGTTAGCTGAGTTTTCAGGTCTGACAAGCAAGAAGCCTCCACCTCCACTGGAAGGAACTAAATTATGGATGTGTGCATTACATATCCAGTCGAGTTATTAAATGTTAAAACAGCTTGCCATACTGGGTCCGTGTTACAATGAACTCTAACCACGTCACCACATCACCGTGATATATACTATAAATAAACCTGCGCTGCACACAAGCAGTAGAACAAAAGGTAATGTTAGTCTAAGAGGACTGTGTTCAGTAATACTTGGCTTTTGAGGCTGACCTGTATCCAGCTGTTTCCAGCACTCTGCAAGTCTCATTACATAAAGTTGTCACCGCTTCTAACTGCGCCTGTAATATCTGTTTTATTCCTGGAATGACATTTATTGGTGCTTTATTGTTACGGTCTTGTCAGAGAAAGTCCTGGATGGTTCCCATGGCAAAGCTTTGGGAGACAGCTGTGCCAGATGATCGTTTGCCAAGCCAGGGTTGCTTTTCATTATGCTAACTCATGCCTCCTCGCGCCCTCTTTCCTCCTGTGTGGAAACCAATTCCTTCCAACATCATGGAGGAATTTTTCAATTCCTTAAATGCACCTCAGAGGAGACGAGGAAAGAGGAGGCTTGTGGAGGAGCTTAGAGAAGAAACACAGGTGTACCCGACCCCGTACTTCCTAAGTTAAGACAGATGTTAAGGCAGAATGAAAAGCACCTTGATTCTTCTTACTTTGGGGAAGCATTTTGCCTGACTTTGCCTTCCTCTGGCCTCACGGAGCAGCAACAATCCATTACGCTTGGTGCCAAGGCAGAGAGGCTCCGCTCAGAAACATACCAAGATGAGATTTAGTGTATACTTCATTTAACATGTTCTTGAACAAAGATACACACTTCACTAAGCTTTTCTACGACTAGCAACACTGGATGTCCTCAGCAGTGTTTGCCTCCACTGTAGTAGAAGATAACATGCTCTAGCTTTATGTTTGGTTGTGTTTTGAAACTTATATCAACTGTCCGACCTATTGCCAGTGCAGCAACGACCATCTTTTTTGTGAAAAATAAAACAATACTCCACATTTTGATGACGAATTAATAGATGCAACCATAAAAAACTGCATCTTTCCACTATTGGGTTGATGTACAGACACTACTACCTCAGAAAACATTAAAATGAAAATGTTTTGTACTGTATTGCTCACTGTTTTAATGCATTGTAGTATGAGGGCAGCACCCTCAGTTTCTCCACATTCCACCTCCTTGGTTTAAGAAAAATTTGAGAAACTTGAGTCAAGACCATATCATCCAAAGTAACCTTGATAATCTAAACTTCCCCAGCTACTTAAATCTAAACATTTTCTTGTTTCTTTTAAGAGTAAACTGAATATTTGGGGGGTTTTTGGGGGCAAAAGATGACATTTGAGGATGTCATCTTAGGCTTTGAGGCTATAATATTTGTTCATTTCAAATTTGAAATCACAAAGGTTCCAAGGTGTTGCATAAATTAAGGCTAATGCTGCAACTGAATTTGATTTGAAGAGATTCAAACCTTCAGGAACTGTTAGTGCTTAACCATTGATCAGTATCATACATACATGCTGTGGTTCGACTGACACAAGCCCAGTCAGACTTTGTACATTTTTCACCATTTTCTGACATTTAAAAGACTAAATAACGAATCTATTAATCGACAGTGACTATAATATTAGTTGCCATGGCTCAGATCATTCCGAGAATAATAGCCAGTGAAGTTGGGCTCTATTGGACGCCACTCTTCAAATGGTAGATCAAATGGATATTCCACCTGGCAGAGGTAAATGCTTTTTCCTCTGAGGAATGTCAAGTCGAACACACTGAAAATGGAAATGGCACTCCTGTTTCCCATTATGTTTGTTTTTTTTGGTCTCAGCTCCGAAACATCTACAGGGTGAAATCCTGTAGACCTAATAGGCTTATAGGATAATATCACTTTGTTTTTCCCTCTCTCCTGTCTGTGCTCAGTGCTTGGTGTTTGAAGACGCTCCCAACGGTGTGAAAGCAGCACTGGCTGCAGGCATGCAGGTGGTGATGATTCCTGACGACAACCTGGACCCCAGCCTTACCCAGGAGGCCACGCTGCGACTCAGGAGCATGGAGGACTTTGAGCCGCAGCTCTTCGGCCTGCCGGCATACGACTGAGCCTGATAGGGAAGCTGAAACAGCACCATGTAATTCAGTCTTTGTTCTTCGAGGGAAACGGTTATGATGGAGAGAGAAAATCCACTTTTGTTTTCCTGCTTGCGTCACCATGTTGTGGGTGACTGCAGGTGTTTTTGTTGAGGCCAATAAATGTCATTTAAGTGCCATCTATCAGATGAGAATTCATGTTATTTCATGCAGCCTTTAAGCTGTTAGATAACACCTGATAATTCAATTTTTTTTTCTTTTAACGCTTTCTTGATGTGTCACATATATTTTGTCACTTGATATTAGGGGTGAGAATTTCATTTATACTGCCCAAAACATAAAACATATTTAGACCAAAAATCTTTAAGCTTAGGGTTTGAATTTAGCTTATTAAGATCATGTAAAATGCAACTTAATCACACTGATATTATAGCTCCATTGTAGTTTGTCTGATGTCATTTTTGATGCAATGCAAATGAAATTCTGTTCACCTTTACTGCAAAAAGATCCCAGAACCTGGGAAGACAAAACTGAACCTATCTGCATGGCTACAGCATTAGGGTGGGTAAATATGTCCTTTTGTAATTTATGGGAACTGTTTGTTACTGGATGCCCATGCATAAAAAAGCATAAAAACTATTGTTTTTATACTTATATATACTTAAAGCCTCCAGCTACAAATGCCACTTTCAATCACAAGTGTGCATTTCCAAATAAATCAATTTTACAGCTTGAAAATTATGGGAAAATGTATGTTTTTCAAGTACTTTGACAAGTTTGAGGATTTTTTTTCTTCTTCATTAAATTAGTGCTTGTGCTACAAAATGACCCGAGCCAAGTCCCGAAGCTTGTCTCCAGTCAGGTGAGTGATGGACAAAATGAAGCAAAATACAGCATAGATTTGGGTTTTGGGTGTCCCTGTTTCGAACCGGTGAATTATTCCTTTTGGGAGTGAGTTGCTTCCTCGAGCGAAGGACTTTAACTGTCTTGATGTCTCGTCCACGAGTGACAGGAAAGTGGGATATAAGCGAGTTCTTCCTAGACTGGCTGGGCTTAGCCTTTACAGGTAATGTGAGTAGCTCCTGGGTGCCTTCTTTTGGAGATTTTTCAGGTATGTCCAACTGGGAGGAGACCTCAGGGCAGACCCAGAACTTGCTGGGCGGATTACATATCTCATCTGACCCGGGGGGATTCAAAGGCTTTGCCAGGTCACATGAGATATGTAATCCCTCCATTAAGTTCTGAGTCTAACTGGGAGGAGACGCTAAAGTAGACCCACTGGTGGGATTGCATGTGTCATGTGACCTGGGAACACCTTTAAATCCCCCAGGAGGAGCTGGGAAACACTGCTGGGGAGATGGGTTTCTGAAATACCCTGCTTTGTCTGCTGCACCATGACTGAACTCAGCAAACCAGAAGAAAGCTGAAGGATGGAAGGATGCACCGGGAGCCGATAAAACCTAACTGGTGCTGTCATATCTCTGATCTTCAAACTAATTCATGAGCAAAATGTATCCCTTTGGTATACTAGATGTCTTTGGACAACATCAATTCAGAACTCCAAAAGGAATTAGCTTGAACAACTGAACTACTGTCCTGGAAATGATGAGATTATTGTTCCCATGTATGTCTGTCGTCATGGCTGCATGTCAAAGCACAGCTCGTCATTAGGACGTCAATCACAAGACATGATCATGTTGAAGTAGGCAGCTCTCGAACGCACACAGTGGATCAGTCAACGCTGTCCTTGTCACACATTGTGTTTAAGCTGTCTTATTGAAATGCCAAAGACACTACTCCTCTGCTCAGTGTAATCCAGCAAAGAGGCTGCGAGTTGGCCTCACTCTTTCATCTCCCTCTGCTCATGTCTGCCTCTGCACTTACTACGATTCACATGTACCCCCGTCCCTTTTGCCGAGCTGGCTTTAACGGGGGGGCGCGCTGGAGGAGCCTGGTGCCACGGATCCCTCAGGCTACTCAAATAGGATTTCGCTGCACTCCCATCCACTTCCCCTCCATGCCTTCCTGGCCTTTCATCCTCAAGGAGGGGGTAATCTCCTCTGCTTTTTTTTTTTTTCTTACCCTGCTTACACACTCATCACCCTGTAGTTTTACATGTCATTTACCCCCCTCTCCTGAAGTGTCATTTTTTTTTCTTCTTTCTGTGTGTTTGCCTTACAGTCCTACCAGGCAGTAATTGATTGAAGTGCATCTTTAATTTAAACAGAAGGATGCCTGAAAATAACACCGGATCAGACAGCGAAATGTCTCCATCCACACAAATGTGTTAACTTTTCATTATTAAATAAATAAACCCTTAACACAAACCCAGGGCACAATAATTATGCAATTTCCATTCATTTTTAATTCATTTTCTTCTTGACTTTGATTCCAGATTTAATTAGGCTATGGGTTATTTTCAGACGTATTGCATTTTTATTTTTTTTTCCAGGACCTTCAGATGTTCAGAGAATGTAACTCATGCATGTATAGCAGATGCGCTGCTTCATTTCTAATTTATTTGGGCATTTAAGATAAGTCGCATGGCTTTAGTTCACTCGTGACACACAGTTAATTGACTACATATTCGCCGTGTCCAGTTTCACTGCAGGGTTACAGTGGTGCTGCTGAAAGGAACATATCACTAATAAGAGAAGGACGCTTATTATTTATAGCTTCATCAGAGACGCACATTTTACAGAAAAGGCCAAGATGAAAGAAAAAAAAAAATACCTGGCACTGGCTGTGGTCTTCTTAGGAAGGAAGTGCATCAGAAAAATCTCATCATGCATCATGTCTAGTAAAAGCTAATGCAAAGCTTCAGCATTCTTATGGGGTGTGTTCCAATAATGTTGTACTATTGTATGCAATCGTCTTCATGCTCTCTGCAACACTTAACTGTAGTTCGTGCCGAAAGGAAAAAGAAAAATGATGTCATCTGGGATGCAGGGTCGGTCTTTTCATACAAAATTCCCTCTTTGAGTTACTAATCATTACCCCCTGCAGCTTAACAAATAAACTGCAAAGTGCAGAGTACACTAGTGCAACATGGAAGACGCCTGCTTTATTTGTTTAACTCGGGCTGCTTCTAGAGAAAACTGGATATTGGAGTGGCATATAAAGACTGCAGAAAGAAAGCCGAAATGAATGTGGATTTGCCCTGCGAGGCCAAACAGAGATGTCTGTACAAGTAGAGAGTCATTCCGATAATGTTTTTGAAAACTGAGCTTCTCCCAAGTGGTCATGTATTTAATTGAACATCCATAAAGAAGACGGAATATGAGGAACCATCCAGGGACAGAACTGGAGTTTCTGGTGAGTTTTTGAGACTCATCAGTTTTCATCACGGTGAGTGAATACTTTACGAACAGCAACATCTGCACAGCTGATTTATTGGCTGTTTGGAGTGATTGAAGTTATTGCGAAACTGTCCAGAAATCAAATTTGTTGTGCTAATAAATCAAGGTGAAGATGACTTTTTTCTTCAGTCTGAACTAGGGTTGGCAAAAAAAACTAAACCAAACTGACATTGCAATACTTAGTTTTTGTGATACAGTAAATTGCAATATGAAAAAATACAGGAAATTTACCCTGATGACCCAAATACCTTTTTCATGGATTTATCACAGAGTCTCTAACTTTGGAAAGATTAATGAATTTCAGTTTCATCCTGTTCCTCAGCTGGAAGTAGCACCTTTTCACAACAGAATGAACAAGTTTTCCAAATGTCAGACTGCAATCAAAGATGATTTGGATGCAGGATGTTGGCTGTTAATTGCTCTGACATGACCAAACACAGTCACTTCAGTCTTATTGTCATTCGGTTGTGGACAGTTTAAGGCCATCCATTGCTTTACCTCTTGAAGACAGGCCAAAATGGTTGGAGGTGGTGTGCCATAACACATCTTGAATCTTGTGTTCCTACACTCCCAGACACTCAAAGACATTGTGATGATAATGGTAGCTGTGGTATTGCTGCCGGTGGACGTATTACCAGCTTCAGTGTCCGCCAATCGAAAGCATTTGAAAGTGTCATGATGTCTACAACACTAGTGCCTGTCTGCATGCAGCTTTCCTGAAATTCAGCTAGCGAGGAGTGTCGTGCAAGCTCTGGCTCATTTGAAGATAATGGTTTCCAGCTGAAGGCTAAAATTATTGTTTCAGACCAGCTTTTTGTCCAACCGCTATCTTTAAGCCTTTCGGCTGCAGCAGGTGACTGTACAGAGGGTCAACCACGCACGTGCCCCCACATCGTCTCTCAACATACCTGTTACAGCATCTGTCAGAGCGCTTCAGGCTTTGCACTACATTTGCATTCATTCCCATCTCTGCCAATCACCCGTCTCTTTTATCCTTGCCACAAACCTTTTCAACTTTAATTCTTGCCTGTGAGTGAGGAGGGCAGGAGCGAGAAGGCGGCAGCGGGGAGATAGCTCCCCGACATGATTCCCAGGCCCATGTTCTCGTCTGTGCTCACGACTGATAGGCGCGACTGGCTGTGGGACACATTCATCTTCAACGTCAAGTTTTATATCCGGATTTTATCAGCGCTCAGACAAGCAGCTTCTCTGCAGGCAAAGTCGAAACACTGGACGCCAGGGAGAGACATTGTATGGATGACCTCATTTTGAACATAAAACCTTTTTTTTTTTTTTCTTCTTCTTGTTCTTAAGGGGCTGCTTAACAGTCTCCGCAATTGAATGTAGAAAGAGCAGGATGGGGAAGCTCATCAGATAATGCAGTCAGGCCTCTCTGTACATTTACTTCTGTCTTGTCTTAGTATTAAAACATACTGATTGAATGTCACATCTTTAAGGAGGGAGGGATGCCTTTTTTGTATTTTTCTAAAAGAGTATTTGGAAAAGTCTTTACCTTACTAAGTGCAGGATTTACTATGCATTTGTGTTATCGTCAGGAAATCCACTGAATTAACAAAGATGTCAGTGTTTTAGTTGATTTGTCTGACAGAAATGGACATAGTTCAAAAGTTTGCCTCGAAAGTCTCTGCAGCACTTCTGCACATGCCAACATCTTTGTGTTAATAGTCTTAAGGAAATCCTCCCTTTCTTTTAAAGTCTTGGCCAAAACAAATGACTCTACTATGTGCAAGGTGGCACAACTTTAGATAGATTTCTCTATTCTCAACACCAAGCGAAAGCATATCTCAAGTCTGCATATCTCCAAAGCACAGGCTATGGCTGAACTGCCAAGACGGGTAGAGCACAGAAGAATGCCAAGATACGATGGAAGTAGTTCTGCTGGATGCCATTTTGTATTCCGTTGCCAAAGTGTACAACCTCGACTTGAACCAAAAGGGATTTTATGGAGATGAAGATATCGAAGGCCTCTGACCGCGAGAAGCACTTTCTCTGTTATGAGATAGGATGCAGACACTATATGCTTTTCTGCTCTTGCTCGGAGACTCAACGCTTCCTCAGTGATGCAAATAGGCCTCATGTTTTATTCAGCTTTCGGGTGATGAGAGAATAAATTTGATTACGGGAGCAGGTGATAAAGAGGACGATGTTGGGGAGCAGATTTATGAATGCAAAAAGGTATTTAATGCACAATTAAGGCCAGACAATATCAGATTAACATGTTTTGCAGTAATGCTTTGTGGAATCAAACAGTAACTTCTTTGATGTCTTTGGGTATCTTGGGAGTTTTACATCACTGAATTATGATTTATCTCGATGTTTGTTTTAGATTTAAATCTTAATTGACTGGAACAATGGAAA